TAATACATGTACAGTATAGTCTCTTTATTAAGGACACCATTGGGCCCACACTACCTGTCCTTAATACAGAGGTGTCCTCATTTCAGAGGTACTTTTGTATAGGCTTGTACCAATTGGGACATTACAAAATGTCCTCATTATAGAGGTGTCCTCATTATAAAGGTGTCCTTACATGCATTATAATAGAGAGGTCACATTGTACACATGCAGTAGTACATAATGAAGTTATTCAGTTTAAATAATACATAATAATAACACATACACACTATACTGTACAAAATGTACGTGTATCTGAGTTATGAATTGATCAGTAAATATACATGTATTATATAGAACAAATACAGTATACAGCAGTTAAGGCTGGTTCACAATATTACGCTAGTCCTGACGTTACGTTGACGCTGGAATCAAATCTGGTTTGATTCCAGGATGAAGCATGAGTCAAAAGGTCAAATCGCCTACACTTTTGATTAAAAATTGATGGTACATTGGCCTAGCGTCATATTGTGAACCAGCCTTTACACAGTTATTGAGTAGTACAACTATTAATGTTCATGTACAGTGAGTAGTGATTGGGTGATGGTCACTCACTCTCAGTCCAAGAGCCTCCAAGTCTTCCTTAGCCAAAGGAGGGAAATACTCCAACCAGTGACTAGCATCAGCGAACCTTTAATGAGAACAAAATAAAATAAATAATAATTATTATTACATGTACCATTATTGGTGGGAGTAATATTTGGCAAATTTGCCTGTGGAAAGAAATTGGTGAATTTTATATTGGCGATTTTGTGCCACGTGCCATTGAGCATGCTCAGTTTGAAACAAAATGGTGGATTTTATATTGGTAATTTCTTCATAGAACCACCAATCACCAATATTACATGTAATTCTTTGCCAATAAATCATCTTGTATGGTAAGTATATGTACATGTACATCTATAAAATGATGAAATTACTACTATTAACCTTATATACATGTACATGTACATGTACATGTATATACAAATACAATGTACATGTATATTAATAATAATAATAATAGCAATACAATACAATACATTAATGTTATGTCAGTTCCTCTTACTTGGCTATCATATCATCACTCATTCCATAATTCCTCATAATGTTCCACTGGTAATTAGGACCACCTCCTCCTTTAGCCGCAACTTTACTCTTTACCTAATTAATGCCCGTCAAACACGCCCATACATGTTAATCACATGATCACCTTTTTGGCAAGTTTCGTCGGATCAACCTGAACACTGGTCTCCACCTCTTCTAGCTCCTCCTTCTCAACCACTTCAGGAAATTTAGGAGGAAAACCGAAATCCTGTCTCTCCATTTTCAATTTATCAGCACAAGCCTATATACATGTACATGTACAGTATCATTACTTAATGTACCGTATATTCTTAAATAAAAGCCGGATGCAAATAAATGCCAAGGTAGCAATAGAATTGAACTATAAACCGCTGCTAGGCCAAGTTTTATCTTACTTTTAACTTTTTTTCAAAGTCCAAATACCATTTTAAGAAATAGATGCCCGGACTTTTATTTAAGGAAATACCATATAGCGGGTAATTTTGGAGGAGCTAAAATTTGGCAAATTGCTAAATTTTGGTGATTGGCAGATTTTAATCTGGCAAATTTGTGGCCACATGCCATTGAGCATGCGTATAATGGCTCAAAATGACAGATTTTTATTTTGGCAAATGGCCATCAAAACACCAAATTCTCCAAATTTAATTCTCTCCAAAATTACCCGCTATATGGTACTACATGTACTAAGTAAAAGACTAAATTAAGTCTATTATTCACATTAATGGTATAACTACTGTACATGTACACCATTGTTTACTCTTGATCTACAAGTACATGTATAATGTATACATGTACAGTATTATCACATGACTCTCACATGATCCTTACCTTAATAGGCATACCAGTACAATGGAATGCAAACGGGAACAAACACCTCTTCCCTTTCAGACGATAGTACCCTACAGAAAACTGTTACCGAGGCAACGATTGTCATGGTAACGGTTGTCAAGGAAACAATAGTCTTACCTCTGCCTATAAAATAAAGATTTCAGTTGCTCATTTAGTATAAAGGAGAGGGTGTGGTCTGTTTCTATGGTAACCTTACCTTTGATATCGTGAAGGTGTGTCCAAGGTGGAGCTGTCCATTCATGTATGGATAGGGAAAGGTCACAAAGTATCTGTTACTGTGATCAAACTCAGAGCCTCTGTCTTCTGGCTATTAACAAGGATTAAATTAAAAATAATTATAATATTATTACTGTTATTATTATTATCATTATTATTATTATTATTATTATTATTATTATTATTATTATTATTATTATTCTTACTGTAGGTGCATCAATTTCAAAAGTGCATTCTCTCTTCCATTTAGCTTGACACACTCTCTCTATCTCCCTCAATGTATCTTTCTTGTAAAACTAAAATGAGAGAGAGAGAGAGAGGACAGGAAAGAATAATACAGGACTTACTGTCATTCTGTATGCTATGCCACGTGCAGCCATGGGCGTGGCTATCCCCGCCTACTTTT